GCACGCGTGCACGCACCACCATGAGGGGGCGACGCAGTATACAACAGGGGTACCTTGCACATCCTGGAAATACATTCCACGTACCACACAATCCTACAACCACTTGGCATTGCTACAAGTATATCTATCAGGCAAGACCGATGTTGTTGTGCTTCCCGGATCATAATGGTTGGGGGGTAGCCACAACCTGTATCCAGACCTCCTGGTTGTGAAAACACCGGTGACACAGGTTGGGAGGCAGCGACAACTTTAGGCAAGATCAATGTTGTTGTGCTTTCCCCGATCGCAATGGTTGGGGGTAGCCACAACCTGTATCCAGACCTCCTGGTTGTGAAAACACCGGTGACACAGGTTGGGAGGCAGCGACAACTTTAGGCAAGATCAATGTTGTTGTGCTTTCCCCGATCGCAATGGTTGGGGGTAGCCACAACCTGTATCCAGACCTCCTGGTTGTGAAAACACCGGTGACACAGGTTGGGAGGCAGCGACAACTTTAGGCAAGATCAATGTTGTTGTGCTTTCCCCGATCGCAATGGTTGGGGGGTAGCCACAACCTGGATCTAGACCTCCCGGTTGTGAAAGTTCAGGTGGCGCAGGTTGGGAGGCTGCCACAACTTTAGGCGAGACCAATGTTGTTGTGCTTTCCCCGATCATAATGGTTGGGGACAGCCACAACCTTAGGCCAGACCTCCTGGTTGTGAACGCACCGGCGGCGCAGGGTGGGAAACATCAACAATCTCAGGCTAAACGTCCTGACCGTAAAGGCACGGATGGCTACGATAGAATGTGCCACGTGGGTGTTGAACGTCCTTCCTGCCGAGCTAGAAATTAAACAACCTCTAGAAACAATTGGATGACTTGACGCTTGCATTACCAAGATGATACGCATACGAATTAAAGAACGGCATGAAGTTAGTGCAGTAATAGTAAAGGGTGTCGCGACCGCTCGCTGTGAAGACTTCCAACAGGTATTTACTTAATATATTCACATGTCCGAGTAATGGCACGCTATTATTCAGTTCCGCGTGCAAGCGCAGCAGAATGTCTACGTTCATGCACGTTCTGTACCGTGCAGACGACGACGCGAGTTCGACGCCGTCGAGGCCACGAAAGAACGTAGTTTTTCTTTTTTTCGCCGCAGGTCTCACTACACTCGCAACTTTTTGGACATGGACGTGGAGTTCTTCTGTACCTTCCATGTACGCTGTATCCTTGAACTAATGAAAAGATTGGCTATTTTTGCGGCTGCCCACCATGCGTGACCTTCAAGTCTGTATACGCAGGTCCGCAACCCGGCATGCATCCAGATCAGCATATAATACCATTTATTGGGAAAATGTCTCGCCGTTCATCGGCAACTGTTGTTCTTTCCTCCGGCTGGGCTTTCTATGGACTGACATACCCAGCGATCGCGGGGAAAAAAAAAGGGATTACGGAGAAATAAATGCACAGAAAGACTACCCATTCGAGATATACCCACAGTCGATTGTTCCACATGTGAAGGTATTTTTTTCTAGATCCACGGGAGGCCGCCGGTAGTCTATCTAGTACCTATAAACAAGGAATATCTTTGTCTGCTTTGAGCGCGATGGATCAAATGAAGAAGGCACCGCATCCAGTCGACAAGGTCAAATATTCCCTCAACGGCGAACAAAACATATCCCAACACACGCGCGTCACGTCGCAGTGGAGCAAGGGGATGCCACACACACGAGAAATATTCAAGTACAACATTACATGGGGCCCATCCAAAGATGAACAAACCATGGTGTCGAGGGGTAGCAACCGCCTTTCTTTCGTGAGACGCTGAAATAAGTAAAACAAAAACCAGAGAGAAAAACCGCCAGGTGAGGGTGGAGTCTATCGAAGCCGTCGACAAATGGACGTGAGAAAACAACGTTTGTGACAAGCAACAACGGTGTTGTCGCCCACGAACTTTGAACGAGCTCCTACGAGCACCAAAATCAGGGTAAACAATTGAGCTAGATTCACATTGCCCCCGGTACGAATTTATGTCCTGCTGAGACAAGGGTCCGCGGGCATGTGTGGGCATGCCATCTCGTATCGCATCCCCGCCGCAACGTCTGGCAACCAAACCAACGCAGGGACACACGGCTGCAACGTCGTGAAACGCATACCTCGGGCGCAAGCTCTCTCTCCCACCCACCCTGTCCCCGGCTCCGTTGCAAGGTACCTACTGCCTACGACCCGTAAGTGTTCTCCCTCTATCACATCCCACCCACATCCCCCGTCTCCGCGATGATCTTTTCGCCCGCCTCTCCATCTGCCGTCAACAATGGAACCGCCCACGCCCCCCCCTGGCGTTTAACCCCTCTGCGTCCATGCTCGGCTCGAACAGGCACCGAACGCGAGGCGAGCCCAACACATCTTGGCTGATGCCTGAGAGTAAACGGGAAGTGGGGCAGAAGGAGAGGGGGTCGGCTCATCGAATTGACCTTAGCTCTAGAAGTGTGGTGGAGACGCGGTGTTTTGCAGCGCTTATCCGGGGGCTCTGGGGGCTGGAGGGGGGTGGGAGTCGATCGGTAGCGTGGGACATATTGGGTAGTAAGTGGCGCCGCGAGATGTAACAACATATTCGCCTGATTGAGAGCGTAGCATCTGATTGAGAGCGAGATTGCGCGATACGCTGTAGCCGGACTACCACTGAGAGGTGGAGCTTGCTGTGTAGCTTGAATTGAAGGGCTAGCCC